CCAGTCCCACCTGCAGGTATATTTGAAGGACATTCCGAAACCTCCAGACCTGAGTAGATTCCAAGGACAGAGATTTTTGTGCTTGATAGCCTTATTACGAAAGATGTGGGGGAGAGTTAAGGCATCATTGAGTATTGAGACATATCTCAAGGCCAAGGAGGAGCAGAGCTGGGAAGGAGAACTGGGCCTGGGTTTATTTTCAGCCATGTCCTGGCCCCTGATCACCCTGAAATTATGAAGTCCTTTAAAGGAAATGTATGATAATTGAGAGAAAAGGATGTTAGTGTACATTGGAGAACCCATACTGCTCCACTAGGGTTGGGCAGGGAGCTATCCTGGCCATTGTGCTCCATGTTTGAATATTGCTGGTGAATGGGAACAAAGAGTAGCAGTCCTGCCCCGGGTCTTCTGGCTCCAGGCTGGGCCAGTGATAAGTGTGGAAATGTGGGCTACTGGGCAGACTTGGACAGAACAGGGCCAGAAAACTGCCAGGCTCGGTTTTTTAGAACTCAGGCAGATAGGTGCAAAAGTTACAGCAATGGCAAGCAGGACTACCTGCTTCTGGGGACCTAAGGAGTAGCAAGTGTTGAGGGGATAAGAAAGCATCCTTTTCCAGGTGTCATACTCTTTGCTTCATGATTCTCTAGGAAAGAGGGGTCACACCTGTCCAAATCAGAGTTTCAGAAGCTTAGGGTTTCTCCTATCTGAAGGAAGATTTGCTCTGTGGTACAGGAAGCATCTGGGCACTGCCAACAACTGTCTCAGCAGACTCTGTTTGCCCTTTGTACTGTAATCTTGTCATCCAGCTGTGATCTGGCTGCCAGTGGGAGCCTGACCTGGAGCTTGAGAGCAAGTAGGGCTTGTTCTCCCATGGTTGTACCCCAGGGGTACAATCTGCTGTGTCACTGGATTCCCAGGGGTACAATCTGCTGTGTCACTGGATTCCCAGAAGGACATCAGTAGATGCTGCAGGGGAAGTGGAAGCAAGTGTGTGTGTGTGTGTGTGTGTGTGTGTGTGTGTGTGTGTGTTGGGGGTGGGGGTGTTGTCAACCACTGATCTGGCTATCCTTTTTGCGGGGATAACCTAGAAGGCCTCAAAACAATTACTACCATGGAAGAGCCACCTTATTGTTCCAAAGGAAGCTCCCTTTGTTCTTATGCTTTACTGAAGAGATAAGCAATTTAAAAAAAAAAATCAATTCTTTTTCTGTTCAAATTTTTGCTGACACTGAAGTAGGCAATCCAGCTCCTGCTCCTTGGCCTCTGGATTTCCCACCTTTCCTTTTTGGCTGAGAAGCCTGCTTGCCTCTGGGTGGCCTTACTCCAGGCTGGGAAGGTGCTTAGCGGCCATGCAGACAACGGCCCCCATCAGGCTATAGCCCCCAACTCCCACTGCTGCTCTCTGGAGTGGGGGTGGGGGGTACGGTTCTTGGGAAGCAAAGCAGTTTTAGCAGATCAGGGTGTCTGGTGACTTAGCTTAGAATTCCATTTAAACCCACCCATGTACTCCAGGCACCAGTGACTCATACCCGCCAATATTAGCTACTAGCTACTTGCGGACAGAGAAATCCGTGAAGCTCTTATCTTCAATTAATGAATCGCCAAAAGCCTAGAAGTGGAGGTGAGGCTCAGTGGTTATGAGCCAGCCTTGAGCACAAAAAGCTAAGTGACATCACTCAGACTCTGAGTTCAAACACCAGTGCCAGCAATAACAAAACAAAACAAAAGAAACTAAGATGGACATCTTATCTCCAAATCTCCTCTGGGGATTTTCACCCCTTCCCCTATTCTGCCCAGCCACCAGCCTCCATAGGAAGAAGGGCGGGAACTTTTGAAATCCTGAGAACTTCAATCTGAGAGGAGTTGGCCTGACCTGAGCTGGTAGCTCCAGCAGGGAATGGGGTTGCAGGACCGGGGGAGGGGGGGAAGGATAGAAGTGAGACATGCCAGGGGAGGGCAAGAGTCTGCTTGGACTTCTGTCCATCCACTAGGCTTTCATGGGATTCTTCTGGCTTTACCTGCGCCTCAGATTTATCTTCTTGTATGGCAACTAGTTTTTGTGATATGATAATAACACTATTAGTGTATTATTAGAATACACTCTACACACATACGCCAGAAATCAAAACAAAAACAGTAAGTTTATCAAGCACTCTCAGGTTATCATCATCTTCTCAACCTCTTTTCATCTCAAATTGGTGAAAGGCTGATTTTAGAATAAATGACGGTTAATTAATATTTTTAAGAACTTGTGTGTTCAGTGCCCTCCCCCATGACTGAAAAAAATTGAAGGCTTCTTTGAAAGGGTGGGCAGAAATCTGGAGAAGCTTATTTACTGGGGGGAGAGGGAGGGCTGGACTGAGACGAGGTAGTCCCAGAAGCTCAGATCTGGAGCTTAGACTAGGCAGCCCTCCTCCCCCGCTGAGCCCCTACTCAGCCCCCATCCTGGGTATATGAGGTGAAGCTCAGCTCCTTCAGGCTGACCCAGGAAGGAGACTAAATGGCACCCCTTGATCTCACAATCCTACTTTGCTTTCATCTCCAGGGAAAACTCAGAGGAAAAGAGGATCAAACACGGAACATGCCCATTGAATGCAAAGCCGGGGCGGGGCAAGGGAGTCTGGAGTCTCTTTAAGGACTAGCCAGCCCCCCTAAGAATTGAGGTAGTGGGGTGTCTGGGAGAATAAGCCTGTGAGGATGCTGCTATGGGGGGGGGGGGAGTGAGTATTACTCAGACCCAGTCTTCAAGTGCCCAATAGAGCATGGGCAATGGAGGTGGCACTTAGGTAGACAGACACTCAGGAGCCTTGATTTGTAAAAGAAAGAGCATGACTGGTGCACCCTCAGGCCCTGGCAATGCGAGGAAAGGGGCAGGGCTGGACAGAATCCACAGGTAACTCTCCCAGGCAGCAAAAAGTCCTAGGATTGGCTCCCTCCCCCAACTTCTGAACCCTCCTCTTGGGCTCTGAAATACTTCCTCAGATTTCTAGGTGAGCAGTGCTTAGCAGATGATAGCATGGGGACTCGAGAGAGTAGAGATATCTACCCAGTATGCATTCCACCCTCAGATCCATCTGCCCCCTCCCCCAAGCAAGGTATCAAAGATATCAAATTGACAGAAAAGGGAAAGCATCTGGGAGAGAATTTTGTTCCTTTTTTGAACCCGAGTGCTTCTTCCACCACATCCCTAAGGCCAAGGGGGAGGAAGGCCAGGGTAGGGTGGTGAAAAAAAATGGAAGAGGAAGAGAGAAAAGTAGTAGGCAGCAGATGTAAAAGCTAGTAATGAGGAGTTTGCTTTAGTAGCCGGAGTTTTGGGGGAGAGGGGTGCAGGGGCCATGCTTCTCAGCACAACTTCGGACTAGAAGCTTTGGGGAAAGGGGCGGAGAAAGAAGAGCAGAGCCTCAAAGGTGCACAACTCCTGCCCTTAGCAAAGCCAGAGAGACTCAGCCCACCCACCGGGTCCCCAGGGGCTGCTAAGGAGCCTGAAGCCTTGCTAAAGAGCCTGAAGACCTCATCCAAAAATTCAGCTCAATAAACTCATCCCAGCATCCTCCAGGTGTAACAGAGCCTCTTGTCAACAGCTATTTCTGGGCATTTTCAATGACTTTTATCTTTTACCCCTAGCTTTTAGATCCACTGATGATTGCCCCTGGCTAATGGCATTGGGAGTCCACTCCAGGAGTGCATCCTGCTCAGGGTGCTAATCTTAAATCCTCCACTGAAGCCTTGCGCTTTCTTCTAGCTTGGGCCCTCCAGCGCTACTGTGGTAGGGACCCATATCTGCCCAGCACCCCTTCATTGGGAAAAATCTGTTTCTGGGAGAATTCGTTGATTCTGAACGAATAACTTAAAATAGGAACAAGAAAATAAACAAGACCATTCTTAGAACCTCTCCCCACCCTACATACCTGAGGTGCTCCTGAGGCTCAAACGGAAAACGATTTCTTCTATGAATACAAGTCAAGCCAGGCTGTGGAAAGCTTAAGGCCACCTAGAGGGCAAGGATTACAAAATAATAATACGAACAATAACAATAACAATTAAAAATCATCCAACACTTTGAGTCAGTAGCCAAGACAGTTTTTTTTTTTAAAGAGGGGAAAAAAAATCTCTTGCCCCTCAGGAAGAAACATAGCAAAGTTTTGATTCGAGAAAGGAGACAGGACTAGGGGGAAAGAGGGAGGAACGAATACCCCAGACAAAGTGGGGGAGGGCGGGGAATAACGCTTTTTGGTAGCTTGTAAAAAAAAAAAAAGAAAAGAAAAGAGAAAAAGACTTGGTAGCCAGTTTGAGATGAGCTGTTGGGACAGGCAGTTGTAATCATGGTGGGAGAACGGGGGTCTTGTGAGCCAGCTTGCACACTTCCAGAATGCAGTTATGAATTTTTGCATCCGTGTTAAAAATCAAGGCACCAAGAAAACAAAAGTCAAAAACAACGATAAAAGAGAGGGGGAAAAAAATCAAAAGCATTTTCAATTACCCAGTCCCACAGCCCGGGCGGAACTCGCTGGGCGTCTTAAGCTCTCTCTTTTCTTTCTGCGGAATTCCATTCGCATCCCCTCTGCTTGGGTGTCTCCCTCTCTCAGTGTGTGTGTCTCTCTCTGTTTTCACACTCTCCTCCCCATTCGAGCGAGGCCCACACCTGGCGCATCACTGCCGAGCCATTAGCTGCGGGTCTCCTTTCATCTTCGCTGTGGCAGACGTTTCTATTTATCCACTTGCGCTCGCCGAGTGGCGTCACCAGCGGTACTGTAATGACGATTGCAGCGGGAGGATGACAGCTTAGAAAGAAGAGGGCAATGGGGCTTCCTCCCAGAGGCGGTGCGGCACGGAGGAGCGCTCGCATCACAAGGTGACCCTAGTTCCCCATCGCCACCTCCGCTGTCGCCGTGGACGTCGCGCTCCAGCTGCTCCACGCCCGCCCGGTCGCCTGGCCTCTCTCTCTCTTGCTCCCTATCGCAGCCAAGAACTATTTATTTGGCCGGCCGCTGGGGTCTTAGGGAGCCTGGGGTTAGGAGCTCACTTGGGGGCTTTTCCCCTCCCTCCCCTCCGGAAAGATCTGGTATGGAGAGCCGAAAGGACATGGTGATGTTTCTGGATGGGGGTCAACTTGGCACTCTGGTTGGCAAGAGGGTCTCCAATTTGTCCGAAGCCGTGGGGAGCCCGCGGCCCGAGCCGCCTGAGAAGATGATGCCCCATGGTTGCCTGAGCCCACGAGCTGGCCCTCCGGCTACCCGGGAGCGCGGCGGGGGAGGCCCGGAGGAAGAGGCGGTCGATGGACTTGCAGGCAGCGCGACGGGGCTGGGCGCCGAGTCACGGGCAGCTGGGGCGGCCATGCTTGGTCCAGGACCCCCGGTCCCCTCCGCCGACAGCCTTTCTGGCCAGGGGCAACCCAGTAGCTCAGACACCGAGTCGGATTTCTATGAAGAAATTGAGGTGAGCTGCACCCCAGACTGCACCACCGGGAACGCCGAGTACCAGCACAGCAAAGGTAGCCACCGCGCCCCTCACTCCCCAGGCCTCCCTCAGTGCCCAACCTTCACCTCAGCTCAGGCCAGGAGGAAGACAGTCCTTCCCCCCAGTGCAGGATGGGGAGACCAACCCGAATAACTTTTTTTTTTTAAATCTGTGAACTGGCAGGGGTCTCCTACCGTGTTCTGGCGTTGGTGGGTCTGTACCTTGTGGGGGAGGTGGGTAAGTTTTGGGTTTGGGGGATTCAAAGTGCACCCCCCTTTCGCACCCCCCATCCCCAGTGTTTTGTGGGAATGCTTCAACTGAGCGGGGAAGACACCTTCCCCAGGGTGGAGTAAGATCAAACGAAGTGTGGCGGGGTGCAAGGCGCATCAGGCGCGGAAGCCAGGAGTCTATAAAGGACTGTAAAATCCCGGCGGACTCTGGCTGCCCGGGTGCTGCAGCCCTCCGACCAGTTTGCACGTCGGTCAGAGGTCCAAATTACCTTGTCACTTCCCGGGCTTGTTGGCGCCAGGTCGGAAATGGTCCCAATGGTCTAATTGCTTTTGGTCTCCGGTTGCATTTGAAAAGGCTAGGATCGGGTCCTCCCCCTCCTCTTTGCCTTCCCAGTCCCACTTCTTCACCCCAAGGAAAAGGGGCTGCAGGGGGGCTGGAGCCCCACCCTTCTCTGGGGGTAGGCTCAAAGAGGGGGGGGGGGAGCTTAACTCGAGAGCCTCTTCCCTCCCAGAGCTAATGGAGTGGGGCTGGATGGCCCAGAGGTAGATTTTTTCCCCCCTTTCCTAGCCTGGTGCGCCAATCACTCCACCTTAGGGGGTGGGAAAATGGGAGGGAGAGCTCACCATCCTCCACAAAAACTTGGGAGGGCAGAAAGATGACCTCCTGAGTTGGGTACCCAACATCTTGTACACATTATTTCCACCCCAAACCATTTTGTCATCTGCTCCATCCACTCCCTACTATAACATGCTCTCAGAACAGCGGATCCTTCCACTGAGATGTACACCCCCTGTAACACATGCACACACGCACCTGTGCTCGCCTTCAGGAACATGCCAGAGCAAGGAAACTGCATGTCCAACACCCTACAATGCACAGGTCTCAGATTTCCAATGTTCCCGCACTAAGGTGCATGTCAACTCACTTGCCTGTCAGACAATGTGCATACATACCCCTGCCTATCCCTGCCGATGGTGGGCAGAAAGAGCAGGGAAAATGGACTTTGCCTGAGACCGCGGGTAGATGAAGAAGGTGGTTGGGAGCCTCTTTACCCAGCATGCCATAGACTCCAGTCTTCCGAAGGGCAACTAAACCTAGCACTCCAAACCCTCCACGGTCCCTCCCCAATGATAAACGCCCGTCTTCCCTCCCCGAGTTGCACAGCCCCTGCAGAGTAACTTACTGAGGTCGCTGAGGGGTTTGTCCCTTCTCATCTTGCCCTCCCCCCATCCTTGGGCCTACAGCTTCACCTCAGCAGCGTTTGTGTGTCTGTTGTGTGTCTGTGTGCTTGTGCTTGTGCTTGTGTGCTCTGGGCTCCCCGCGCAGGGTCGGGCTCAGAGGCACTGGGCAGCAGTCCCAACAGCGGCAGCGAGACTCCCAAGAGCAACGGCGGCAACGGCGGCAGCGGGAACAGTTCGCAAGGCAGTCTGGCCTGCAGCGCCAGTGACCAGATGCGCCGTTACCGCACAGCCTTTACTCGGGAGCAGATTGCCCGGCTGGAGAAGGAATTCTACAGGGAGAACTACGTCTCAAGGCCACGGAGATGCGAGCTAGCGGCTGCCCTAAATCTCCCGGAAACCACCATCAAGGTAGGAGCGGGCAGGAAAATGAGGCGGGTGTGTGCTCACGTGTGTGCTCAATAGCCACCTGCCTACTCCCTAAAGAGGGCGCAGAAAATCGGGGCCTGGAGTTCCCCTAGCCTGAGGCTCTCCTGACAGTCCCAAGGAGGGGCACTTCAGCCAAGAGGTCGATTTTGTCCTCTTTCTAGGCAAAGGGCAACACGGATCGAGTGCCTTTGCAAGTGACAATGAGGTGTCCCCTTGGCAGGGGACGTATTTCTGGGCGCGTCCTCACACCCTGGGATGATGAAGTCCTAGTCTCCCTCCCCTCCTCTTCCAGCACACTCACTAGCGCGTTCACTCTGGGTCTGGGGCCCTGGGGATCTTGGCGATGTGGATTGAGGCAAAAGAGGGATAAACAGCGGGGTGACATCCAGAATCTCCTACGTTGGGATACCAGCTCCAAGTGATGTCTGTCTAGTCCTTTCCTTGTCCTGTTTCCCAGAGTCGGGCAGCATTTCTAGGCTGCGACCATTGGTCCCAGCCCAACCACTCAACCTGCTGGCTCTTCTCTCCAGGTGTGGTTCCAGAACCGGCGCATGAAGGACAAGAGGCAGCGGCTGGCCATGACGTGGCCGCACCCAGCGGACCCCGCCTTCTACACGTACATGATGAGCCACGCGGCCGCCGCGGGTGGCCTGCCCTACCCCTTTCCATCGCACCTGCCCCTACCCTACTACTCGCCCGTGGGCCTGGGCGCCGCGTCTGCAGCCTCGGCCGCGGCCTCGCCCTTCAGCGGCCCGCTGCGTCCTCTCGACACCTTCCGAGTGCTCTCTCAGCCCTACCCGCGCCCCGAACTGCTGTGCGCCTTCCGCCACCCGCCGCTCTACCCGGGCCCCGCGCACGGACTGGGAGCCTCGGCGGGTGGCCCCTGCTCCTGCCTTGCCTGCCACAGCGGCCCGGCCAATGGGCTAGCGCCCCGGGCCGCTGCCGCTGCCGCTGCCGCCGCCGCCTCGGACTTCACTTGTGCCTCCACCTCCCGCTCGGACTCCTTTCTCACCTTTGCGCCCTCCGTGCTCAGCAAGGCCTCCTCTGTCGCTTTGGACCAGAGGGAGGAGGTGCCTCTCACCAGATAAGGGGCCGCCTGCGGGCTGCCGACTCCAGGACGCCCGGCGGCGGGGGTGGAGGGGCTCTTAGAACTCAGCCAGAACCTCTTCTACCGCGCCCCCCACCCCCAACCTCCCCTCAAGATGCAGAGGGATCCTAAAGGACCAATGGGACTCAGCCTTGGGATCGGGAGACCCAGGAAGCAAGCGGCTGTGGCTAGCACCTTTGAGGGAGCAGGAGGGCCAAGGCTGAGAGAGCTTCATTTGGGGGGTGGCCTCTTTGCCGGCACCCACCGAACCCACCACCTCTGACTGGGTTGAGGCTATGGCTCACTAGCTAAACAAAATTCAGCGGGCCACCCATATACAGCCCCTCTGGCCCCATCCCCCACCTCACACTCCTTCCATACTTGGGCCTCCCTTGCCCCTGCCAAGGCCAAGCACTGGAAAGGGAAATTGCTGTCTCTGAACAAAATGCTGTGTATGCAGAGCAGATAGAGATTAATCTTCACCAGCTTTTCCAAGGCATGGCAGGGGGCTTGCTGATGACAATACACTAGCCAATTTTAAGGGAGAGAGTGAGGGATGATTTACTGCCAGGGAGACTCTTGCCCCTTGGCAAGGACCATGAGGGCCCTCTGATCTTCCTAGAGCCTCAGTTACACAGCATCTTCTGGCTCTGACATCTACCAGCACCTTGACTGGTCACTCCCAGCTTTGTGTCAGCTTTCAACTTGCAACTCCAGCCCCAGCTCTTTCTGTTTTGAAGTTGGCAGGGAAGATGCAGATGCCCTTCAAAGCCCCTTGGCAGCTTCTATGAGGCCAAACCTTTTTCTCTCTGGGTTCGGTACACACTCTGATTAGCAAGTCATGTGTGTAAGGAGAGTTTCTGAATGCAGAATGTATGTATAATTATGATGAAGCCCAGTTCAGCCCAGAGCTGAGCTTATTTAACAAGGCGCCCAGGGAAGAGCTTAGAGAGTGGGGGCTTTAACAGCCTTCTCTCATTTTCCTAACAAATTGCCACAGAGGCTTGACTTTCAGTTATCAGTGGGTGCCTTCTGACCTTTTGGGACACCCTGTCTCTATCCTTCAGTAGGGGTTGTTTGGGAATCTCTCACGAAACCGCACAGTCACACTCATTCTTGCAGCCAGTTTTTGAAGAAGGGGAAAACTTTACCCCCCTCCCCCCCCAATGCAAGCTTCACCCAAACTGGGAGGGAGTGGTTCTTTCTGTAGGGAATGAATTTGGTTTGGTTAGGAGTTTTCCTTCGAAGCCCAAAGAATTTGCTGTTATGATTTGTTAACCATATTGCAATAAAAGCCGGACATGATTCTCACCTTAGCATTTAAATATTAATCTTCATTATTTTTGGTAGCAGGCAGAATATTAACTGTTTCTGAATTGCTAGGAACAAAAAGCATGCCCTCACATATAGCAGGCAATTGCTTGTTCCAAACAGATATTGGCAGGAAATGAAGATCTGCATCCTGTGGCCCCAAGGTGTATGTTTCCTTAATTCTGAGCATGCTGAGGGCCCTCTATAGAAAAATTGGCCCACTTTGAAGTACTGATCCCCTCAGGGGCTCATCCTTTTGAGGGGTGAGAACTTCTTCACTTGCTCAGTTCCTTTGAGGAAAGGGGCCTCTGCTGGTGCTCTCTCTGAGCGCTATCTCTACCTCAATCCTAGGCAAATGTTGGGCAAGTGGGCCTGGGCAGAAGAGCTGCAGCACTAAGAGGGCCCTGGGTTTACATTGAGAGTAGGGAGAGCCCAAGTCACCGTTTCAGTGGTCATCTTCAGTCTAGAAGTCGTTCGGAACAAGGGATTCTAGAATGTCAGAAGAAAGTGACCAGACCGATTGGCTGCATTCACCAACCATTAGTACCTCACCGGCCCCCCTCCCCCCCCCCCCAAAAAAAGGCGTGTCTGCATCCAGTAGTCGCAGGGTGAGATGGAGGCCTTCTGGGAGGGTTGGAGGCTTTGGGTTTCCTGGACACTGAGGGTTCTCTGCTGGTGTCTCAGGGGGCAGGTGGGAACACCACAATCGTCCCCTTCCTTTCTGAGGCTTCAGAGCCAGTCCTGCTACACCCATGCTCCCCGGTCCTACCAAATGAACCCCGAAGCAGAGGTTTCCCGGACCCGCACTCCCGTTCTGGCCCCGCCCCCAGGCTCGCGCTGACGCCTCGGTAACCCGAAGCTCCCAAGTGCCAAATCTCGGCAAATTTTGCTGTTGCTCCGCATCGGGCAGAGATTGCTTGCGACAGGTAAATGGGCTGCGGGTTGCCTTAATGCCAGGCGTATTTTCAGTTAATAGGGAGGGAAAATGAGGTGTCTGCAGCGATATTGGAAAGTACAAGATCGATGATCCGGCCTCGTGTCCAATCAGCAGCCTTTAATTGACTGTATTTTCTGGGTAATTGAGCCTCTCTTCCTCCAAATTGAAGTGGAAGATATAACAATACATCTTGCCAGGAGGAATTACTCATTACTTCATAATGAAATTTCCCTTTTGCCAAGGTTTGCGGTTTGGTGCTAGGCACTGTTTCTTAAACTCTTCGACTCCTTCTACCCAAAAGAAAAGAGAAAAACAAAAACAAAAAACTTAGCTTGCATCAGGCGACCTGGGCTGTTCTGCTGTGACTCCCTCCCAATTTGGTGTGGAGAATAGGGAAGATCTGGAAGAAGACACTGCCCACCACACCCTCGATTTCTACCTGTAATATGAAGAGGCTAGATGAGGCAAAAGGCCCGACAAAGTACTGTTTTCGTTTGTCAACTTTCTCAGTCGGTCCTCTTAGGCTTTATCCCCGCGGCCCCATTTTGCAGGTGGAAAAACAGAGGTTTTGGGTCTCAGGCAGCTGTGAGCTTTCATCTCCTATTTCCTCCTCCCTCCTCCCGCTTTCTTGAGCGAGGACCTCTGATTTCCGAGGTCATCTCAGCAAAGTATATAACAGCTCTTTCCACAACTCGGCATTTCCCCATAGCTCCTCAATTCTACCGGACATGGAGGGCCTTGGGAAGAGATCCACTCCCCAGCCCGGGTTTGCCTCGGAGTCGCCCTGAAAGACTAGCCACCCTGCCGCCTGAAATGAGCGCAGGACCCGGCCGTCGCTGGCTTGTTAGCTTGTGATTGATTGCCTTATTAAAGCGTGTTCTTGTAAGTGTGACCAAACTGATTGCATTGCATATGTTTGGGATAATGCTCATTTTAAACAACAGGATAAAGCGGATGAGCTCGGCGGAGCCTCGAAGACAAAATGATTTCAGCCAGCAGCTCCCTAACTCTGGCATTAAATTGTCCAGTTACATAGCAAATCACTTGGTTCTTCCATCCTTGTCCCCATGTCCCCCTCCCACCGCCCCTCAATTTGAGTGCATGGAATGCCCCAGAAATGGTTTCTCTAGTAAGACTATATTAGCTCCACCTTCCTAGGTTCCAAGGAAGCTGGGAAACTCACCAAGCATGGAACCCTCTTCCCCACTCTAGGCAGAGGAAGAGGAAATTCAGCAAGCTCCCAGAGGAACATAGCCCCAGAGAGACACCCCAAATGGGATCCTGGGTCTCCATGGTAAGTACCCTATCCTCTTGCCCTCAACCCTTTCATGAAAGTTTAAAAGATTCTTTTGTTCCCCAGGCTTCTGCTTGCTTGCTTCCATTATTCTCTAAGGAGGAAACACCCGCTGCCATATGTCTGTTGGGGAACAAGGGTGTCACAGTGGACATTTGCCGAAGACATCCAGATGGATGGCATCCTCCGTGGAAATAGGTGTGCCTGCTTATATATTCTCACCATATAACCAAACTGAAGAGTGGTACAGGGAGGAGTGTGTGGGTGGGTGGGGTGTGGGATGAGGAAGGCAGGGCAAAAATATATTCTAATTAAATTTCTCCCATCTCTTTCCAAAACCATTACTTGCACTGAGATTCTCTTTCTGTGCGGCTCTCTAACAAAGAAATGTTCATCCTGACTCCACCCACACCTGTCAACTTGCACCACAGCCAAACTAGTGGGAGATTGAACTTCCTAAGGGACACCTTTGAGACATGCTGGAATTCTGATTTGTTCAAGATGATGACCATCATCAGGACAAATCAGAAACGATGCCACTCTCCAGGGTGTCATTTCCAAGTGCTATTGCACAGATTCATTTGCTGGACCCAGCTGAAACAGGTCTGGCTAAGTAACTAGATATATTTGCAAATTTCTTCTATCACTCAGCTCCTTCCAAATTCTGACAGGGACAGGCACAAAAGAGTGCACTAGGGTGAAACGAAAGTCCAGGTCAACATTTGTGTCAGCTATAGGACCTTGAAAACAAAACTGAACCACACAGACAAACACACGCATACACATACATGCACACATACACACATACATGTACACACAAACACAGGTCCATCTACAAAGCAAACAAATACAAAGTCATTTTGAAATTCACCTTCTCAGCAAATAAATACTTGTATATGATATTCTGAGCAGGAGCTGGAGAAAGATTGCCACTTAAAAATAACATGAAAGCATTAAGTAATTATTTAAAACAAGGCTGTTTAGAAAAATATTTGTATTTATTGCAGCTGCTCAATTGGCCTCGTTAAAGTCGGCAAGCATTTAAATTGTGTTACAATCTCATTTAAATCCTGCTCCGTTCCAGCAGGCTGAAGAGCTTGAATAGACCAATCACTTCATAATGATGATGAATGAGAAATTAATTCAGATACAAGCAAGACAATTTAGGCCTTCATCTGTTTAAATAGCCTTCCAATATTATTCGCGATCGCGGGTCACAGATTGAATCAATTGTCCAATCTTGTGAAAGTCATATCCTTGCATCTTCATCGAGATTATTTATAGCGCAGTGAGGGCTGCTGAAAGGTATACGCTGTTAACAGGGACAATTACTTAAAGAGAAGCGTTTATAAAATGGAAAACAAATGCCAGGGTTGGTAACAAATGGGATCAAACGCAGCCATTCCAATCTGGCTACTCGAGGGAAGGGAGCGAGCACTGCTCTGCTGGATGAAAGGCT